TCTTTTTTTTTTTTTTTTTTTTTTTTTTTAAATTAGAGTTTCTCTGTGGCCTGATCTTCCCGCCTCAGCCTCCCATCTGAAAACATAGGCCTGCAGCACCACACCCAGCTCAGTCACACAGGGTCTCTCTATCTTGCCCAAGCTAGCTTCAAATTTGTGATCCTTTTGTCCCAGCCTCTCAAGTAGCTAGGATTACAGGTGCGCACCTCTGCATGCAGCTTTTTAAGGTGGGTTAAGAAATGAACACAGGTCTCCCACATATCCTTAGCCTCCCAAACAGCAGCATCTACCAACACATGCTGCTTCGACTGGGCCCAGGAATTGGCGTCTTCATTGAGTTTTCCTATGAAGGAACAAATCTATGTCATGTAAAATTTTAGATATTACTTCATTCCTGTTTTTTATTTTGTTGTGGTTGATGTGAGCTGTGTAGTTCATTTTTAAAATGACTGGCTGTGGTGCTCATCTAGGTACAGAGGCTATTTCATTCAATTCAGAAAGCATTTTATTGAATTCTTACTGTGTGTAAGGAACTTTAGACATTGAATCTAGAAATGAGGGCTCCGTCCTGGGATTTGGTCTTGTTGGCAGGAACTCAGAATTTATTTTTGGTATTAGGGCAGAATTTTATGAAATAAATCATATTGCCTCCTGCCTAAAGGAATTATTTCTCAAAAGTGCACTGTAGATAGAATAAAAATAACAAAGAATTGGCAGACCTTTCTAAGACATCTTCCTATGCTCTAGGTAGAAAAACTAAACTAGTTACTTATTTCTCAGTTAACTTTTAAAAAAGTTTTTGCCCACTGTAGATAATCACCTCGGCTTTAGCCATCAGCAGTTCTATAAATCTACCTCCAAAGTAAATCTCAAACTCATATACCTGTCTCCAAATTAAAAACTATCTTCATTGACTGCCTTCTAGTTCAAACCATCAGGGTCTTTTACCTGAACTTATTTTAGTTTATTTGCTTCTTCCATGGGTGAATGAAACAGGCCCCCTGACAGGGTTTCCATAGTGCAGTCTACCCCGACTTCAGTCAGCCCCAGATTATGGGCACACACATGTCCAGCATATTCAGGGAGGTCTCCAAACACAAACCTAGAACCTTCCTACGTGGGTCAGCCTTGCAGAGTGTTCTGTTGCCACTGCACCACTGTCCACCCCTCACCTGCGCTGTTGCTCTTACTTTGTAACTAATCTGCTTTTTACTTGCCCACATTTACAAGCCATTTTTCATACAGCAATCCCAGTAGTAGTTTTTAAAAATTATAGCAATTATTGAGCTTTAAATAGTAGGATAATTAATAAATCATCATCACTCTTTTTCAGGAGCAGTCACTAATGGCCACTCTCTGTTTATTTCTCCCCACCGTTATACCACCCCCTGAACTATTTTGAAGCAGCTCCAGATAACATGCCATTTCAGCTGTAAATATTTCTGTATAATAATAAAAGTTAAGGATTCTTTAAAAAGAAAGTACCATGTGATAATTACACAACTTTGTGAACATATTAAAAGCCATTAAATTACATATTTTTTAAAAGAATTATTTTTAACTGTATTTATTACTATTTTCCAGTTTGACCAGAGATAAAGAGAGGGAAAGTGAGAAAGGAAGCCATGAGGTTCAAGAATTGAGCCATGGTTGGCCATGTGGGAGTCCAGCACCTTTAGCCACTGTGCCACCTGCTGGCCCCTTGAATTGTATACTTTAAATGACTGAATTATGTGGCATGTGAATTTAAATCTCATTAGAAGTATTAAAAAATGTAAGTGTAGGCTGACTCTGTGTTCTGGTGGTTAAGGCAGCTGGATTCCAAATGGCCAACTGCTTTTTGAACCCTGGCTCTATCAGCCTGAAAAAAAAATCATGCTGGGCACATGGGTGTGCGTGGACCAAATCCTCACAGGGTGGAGAAATGGAGAAGAGATTGCGATATGACTATACTTTTTGGAGGGGGGAGTGCTCTCTCTCTCTCTCTCGCTCTCTGTCTTCTCACTTTGTCTCTCTCCCTCCTTCTCTCTCTCATAAGTTCACATGCCCTCTGATCAGTTTTTTCAAAAATACATAAGTGCAATAAGATTATTCTACTTACTTTCTTATTTATTTATTTATTGTAGAGCACCTGTGCTTGCTAGAGAGAGAGTGAGGAAAAGTAAGAAATTACCCCCCACCCCAGGGGGGATGGCCATGCTGTAATCTCTTCTCAAGTTTTTTTCCAGGATTTTGGACATTCATACGTATGTACCCAGCGTGATCCCCAAGCTGTTGAGTTCAGAATTCAAAACATGTTATTGGCCGTGTAAGATCATTGCCATAACCTCCATGCCACCTACTGGCCCCAATAATATCCTATTATAGTAATCTCTCAAAATTATAAAGTACCAAAGTTCACATTTCCACAATTATGAATTTTTTAACAACTTGAAAGTTTTAAACTTAAGTCAGATCATGTTACTCTTTTACTTAAAACTCTGGGACCAGCAGTTGGCATGATGGCTATATCACTAGACTCCCATGTAGTTGACCACAGTTCGAGTCCCAGACCTGGTGGCTTAAACTCATGCCGGTGTGTGTGCGTGTGTGCCCAAGATCTCGAGAGGAGAATGGAGGAGAAGGGATTGTGGCGTGGCTGTCCTCCTTGGGGTGATGATTTCTTGCTTTCTGTCTCTCTGTCTCTCTCTGTCTTTCTGGCGAGCACATGCACCCTATAGCAA